CATCAGAGCCTAACCTAATTTAAAATTATTTTATTAAAAAATTAGGCCAGTAAGAGCAAAATTGTTTTTACCGTCTTGAAGAAGAGAGATTTTTCTCTAAATGAAAGTATGTTCTGGAGATATTTTACCTTGGTCGGTCTAACGAACAAACTACCTTAAATTTATTTTCCTGCACTTCATTTCAGGCATTGTCAAAATATAACTAGTGGTGCTACAGAATGGCACAGACTCCCGTATTAGTTTTCTATTTCCTTTGGACTTGTCTAGCTACTCAACTTGCCAATTGCCATCTACCGCTGCGCAAAATAATTTTTGTTAAAAAATTTTCTTAATTTTTTCGGATATAATAGAACGGAAATATTTTAAGAATATTAAAGAACAGTGAAACCTCGTTCTAAATGGCAATTTACTTTGAACAATTTGGAACCGTTTTTAAGAAAATGGCATTTAAGCGTTACTGTAATGCGAAATTTGAATCTCTTTTCACAGAAAATATTGAGTTTCCGAAAAACTTCATTCGAAGTCATTTCAAGCACTTTGAGTCACAAATGCAATAGTGTTTACAAAGTGCTGCTCAAACAGCACGCACTTTCTCGCCATTAGTAATAGTTGTATAATACTACTGTAAGCCCATTATCAGAGAGGGAGACTAACTTTAAAGCGCAATTACTCTAAAAATACTCATTTTCAAAAAATTCAACATCTTATTTGAAAATCTGTTGTTGATGAACACATTTCATTAAAAAAATGTATATTCACAATTGTACTTGTAGGCAGACGCCGAAAAAATTTTGAACTTTTTCAATTGTCGAAAAATCAGGGTTTTCAACCAATCTGACACCTGCAACATTTTCGAGAAAATTTGTTTAAACAAAAATTGCCTATATTTCACGCAAAATTACACGAAAAATACTCAAATTTTCGAAACATTGACATGACCTTCTTTTAAAATCTATCTTATCTATTACTTATTGCATCTATTTTATTAAGAAAAAAATTAATATCTTCAATATTTTAGTTGTAGGATGGCACCGAAAAATAAGTGATTATTTTCAATTGCAAAATTAAAGGAAACTACATCGTTGTTTCAAAAATGTATACATTACTCTTTTAGACTTTTTACAACGGATATTGTCCAATACAAAATCGCCACCTTCAATTTTATAATTTTTAATGTTAATTATTTATCACTTTCAAAATAAATTCGCCCGAAATTAGATTAGCACCATTTTTTTACCGTCCTTTGAAACATAGGAGAAAATAAAAAAAATCATTTCTGCTGTGCTTGAGAAAAAAAGTTTTAAAAGAAAATAAATTGCCTGTATCTCACACAGAATTACGCGAAGCTACTCAAAATTTAGAAAAATTCTGCAAGACCTTATTTCAAAATCTCGTTAAATAATAATTTCATTAAGAAAAAAATCTCTATCTACAATATTTTAGTTGTTTAGTACTTAAGCAATTTTCGAAAAATCACAAATTTCAACGGAAATGAGACCTGCACTATTCCGTTACGAGTCTTTTCGCTATTGGACAACAAAAAATTGTTTGTTTGTTGTTTTTTGTTTTTTAAATGTCCCAGGGACTTAATATAAAAGTACCCTGAAAATTAAAATTTCGGTAGGAAATTCGAGGGGCCGATACATCAGACAGATCGATGGGAAAATATCAATTTTGGAGAAAATCGGCTGAATGTTTTAGCCGCCATTATAGTGTTGACCACAGCTTGACTGAGAGACAGGTTTTGTCGTCAATCAATTTTTCGTTATCAAGGGGCCCACAAACTACGGATTTTGACTACACGTGTTATAGAAAGAAATTGAGTGTAGCGGGTAGGAATCACATTTATCCACTTTTGCGATACCAGGACCCTGCAATAACTTTTTGTCGAAAATTCGCAGTTTTTTTTCCCCCGCAGCATTACAATACTTTCTCTGCTCTCAATAAGCAGTAAATCAGAAAGTCAAAATCACACCTGTAGTTCATTTAACTATGCAAATACGTTTTCTATAACTTGGGAATGAAAATATATACTCTCAAATGCAGCTAACCTTTCATTCATCATTCGACTAATATATGGTTTGATGGGGAAGAGAGCTTCAGAGCTCAAGAGTATTTATACTTCTTCCCTACATATCACATACATTTTCTACTGCTCTTTGATGAAAGTAAATCAAAATCAAATTTAGGAAGAGGAGGAGAGGTGGAGGAGCACAAAATAGTTTTTGAATTGCTTCTATTTTCTGCTTGGTCTGTTGACAATTTTGGGTCAGATTTTCAGAAATGAAATGAGTCCATGCTCATTAATCTACTACAAACCCTCTGATTCTCATAACATGCATGCATAACATAGGTATGAGAGAACAACAAAGAGGTTTTTCTCTTAAGATTTTGTTTAGGACATTTCAACGAAAATAAAGGCACATTCACAAGTCGTTTTTCTGTTAGAAATTTTGTAAAAATTGCTCTTATTTCGAACTTTTGTTTTTCTTTGTTATGCATTAAAGTTTATGAACATTTACATAAATTAATTTTTAAATATCTTAAAATAATTCCTTTCAAATGTTTATTTTAACAACAATATAACCATTTGTACACACGATAAAGGGATAGGTATGATAGAGGTTTTTAAGCCGTAATCATAACTTGCCTACTGATTATTCAATTATAATTAGAATCATAATTATTACCAAAATAATATTTTCCTTTTTGAAAATTCTTTTATCATTGTATTATTACATTTTCACAAAGTATATCTAATTCAAAAAAATAATTATAGTTCCTATCCACATGTTTAGTCACAGTTGTGGTGATTAATGGAGGGTGTCTACAATGCCAATTAGGTCGTCAATGAGAAAACTGAAATTTGAACCATTGTTTATAAAATTCTTTTTCACGAGTTCCTTTTTAATGAACATTTTAAAAAATTGATTAAAACAATGATATTAAAGAAGTGTAATGAAATGGAATGAAATCTAGTAGGCTATCATTATGTAGTCATCAATTAAGTCACATCCAAATTTTTGCTCATTATACTTAGATTTTTTAAAGTGGCTGATGACATTTGGTCACTGTTACACCTCCAGCCTTATAAAATTAATATTTTTAATTCTCAAATATCATCAATGGGGATCATAGCCTCCGAAATGTGCTTACCACTGTTAAAAAGATTTTATAAGGCAGGAGGTGTAACAATGACCTAATGTCATTGGCAACTTTCAAAAAATCATTAAAAAAAACTCAAAATAAGGAATTTAAATATTGTTTTACACATTGATTATTTTACACATGTAAAACATTTAATGAAAAATATATTGGACCCCCTCATTTCATGTAATCCACAAGGGCGAACTTTTCTCCCCTTTAATGAGGGTTTATACTAGGAGAATTTCAATAGAAGATACTACAAATTTTAAGGGGATGTACAAGTAAAAAAATTTCTTATGCAAAAAAAATTAGTCTCTTAAAATGATCAAATCACACTAATGAAATTGAGTAGAGGTATTAGACACAATAACATAATCCATTATTTTTTTAAAGAAGATTTCAAAATTTTTTAAAATGAATAATTTTAAACAAATTATAATTTTGATTTTGGTTCTCTCACTCGTTAGAATAATTTGAAATGTTTGGTGGATAACTAGTGATAATCTTTAAGTAAACTAAGAATCCATTTTGATTTTAGATTAATGTTTTCCAAACCATTTATTTGCAAACCAAAGCTTTCAAGATAAAATTATACTTTTTCAATTCAATGAAAAGACTTGTTTGGAATTTAGAAAACCCTTTATAAACTTGGTTCTATTTCATAATTTTAGATAAGCATCCATTGAAAGTATTTCATTGGTTCATTTTTAAGCTAAGAAAATTTGAACCTTTATGTATTGTTGTTGATGATGATAGACAACCTCCTCCTGTGGGAGAAGAAAAAAAAAAGGATGGAAAAACACTTTTTGATGCTAACGTAGTTAGCTGTATTTAGGCATTCTATACTTTCCATATAAGTGATAAATATTTATTTATTGTAATATTTTTATGAAACCTTATGAAAACACTCACAAGTGTCTCTTGTCACATACAAGATATTCTATCATCAATAAAATGTAACGGTCGTACAGGAGGATTTTTATTTTATAGTTTAAGATCACAATTTCTAGTTTTCTTTGCAAATTTTCTTATCAAACAAAAGAACAACCAAATTCTGAATCTTTGCTATCAAAATGTAAAAATTGCGAATTTTGTCAAATAGGAGGTTGTCTATTGTCGACGATGTGTAAGAATTTCAAAACTTAGAAATATTTATATATATCTTCACTTTTCCCAGCAATTAAATTTCATATTTTAATCATTAATTAAATAATTTCTCCATATTGGTATTCTTCTGGTGTCCTCTTGAATTTCATCTGAAACGCAAATTGAGATGTTTATCTACAGCTGTCAGGCATCACAATTCTATGATCATTGATAGTTTTTAAAATGTTCAATGTGAAGGTGCCACAAGAAAATTATAATGCAAAGCGGAACGGTCTTTTAAATTTCAAAGGTACTTTCTGGTGTCGGAAAAAAATTGGGGATGATACTTTCACAATTCCAAACAAATTTATTTTGTTAAAACAGAAAATCTAATCCTTGATGAATTTCCCTACATATCCTCTAAGTAGATATAATTTTCCTTTATATATAAGTTGAAAGACAAATATTCCTGTAGCAAAAACGGCCACAGCCAAACAACAAAACTCTTTTCACTGCATCTGGTGACCTCAATCTTCTTCCATGTTTGATTAAGCTTTTGTCTTCCTCGGCTGTGAGATATTTGTATACCACTTAATTAGAAAAGGCAACAAATGATCCAAAAACATTATGTATACTGTTGAGAATGACTTGACTTACCTTAAAAGCACGTAACAAAAGTAAATACCATTCAATTGGGAATGGAAAGGCATAGTCCTTATGGGAGTATTTTCAAGACCACAATTCTTTTACTTTAAATGTGAATTCACCTTAAAACAGGGTTACACTGATCTTCACCCTTCATAATAATATCTACATAGTCAAATGCTTCGTCTGGTATTATTGAGTTTGAGCACAATTTTAAGTGCTTGTCTCTCATAGTCTTAAACAATTATCAGAATAACATAAATAGTCTCGCTCATATGATATAATTGGTACTGGAATTCTTTCAGATTAAGCATTATTATTATTATTATTACAAATAAATAGACAAATTAGGGATTATTGAGGCTTTTTGTCTAAACACAGCAATAACTCAAAATAAAGTTATTATTGTGGTTAGAAATACAAGCAACAATAACTCAGGACAAACATGGCAATGTGATAATGTGGACTTATGTTTTGAAGTTTTGAAGCAATTTGGCTTCCAGTGTCAAGTATTCTCTTCTTAGTCAAAAAGATGTAACTAACTTTACAAACCAATGTGTTACTGCTCTGCGCCTTATAAGTAAATACCAGGCCTAATGCAATAACTTTTTTATTATCAAAATTATGTTCAGCAGTACAGCAGGAGTTTTTAATGCAACAGACCCTATTTCTGTCATCACCAAAAAAATTCACTGATTTGTTTGAGATTAGGCAAACTTTCAGATTTCTGAAATTTGGATTAGCAAGACTCTACTGTACATAGGTTTCATGAATAGTTGTACTTGACACACTTTGTGAAGAAATCAAAAGTTCAAAATTGGGTCAATTATTTCATGATTTTATCACATTAGTAACAGTTGAATACCATACTTAATTTTATAAATTTCTGAAGTTTAATAATACACTTGCCCAAATTATTCTCTAAAAAGGATAAGGAAGTGCATTACTTAAAGGAAGCTTTAGTGCTATTATTATTATTCTTTTCATTTTGAAGACAAAACGTCACACATTTCTGAGCATTCCGAAGCTTTATTATTTAAATATAACAGACCCAAGCTTGTGACATTAGCTACAAAAACTGAAGAAAATAAATTCTCCTTTATCTCCACTTTATTATGGTAAACATGACATAATAGACAAAACAACTTTTACAGAAACCGCCCGTACACCTGGAGTAGAATATGAATTTACCACACTAAGTAGTATCATCTGCCCATTTAAATAATGTCCAAAAATATATACATTCTTGTAAGTCAGTTCAAATAGTACCAAAATCAAAATACACATCATCATTGCTTAATCATTAAGTCCGTCCTACCTCACCCCTATTCCACTTCCTTGCGCCTTTCAATCATTCAGTCTCATTATTCTCAAACTTCCCTCTACTACCTTCCAACTGAGTACAACAAAGTTCACCATATCTGACATAATCCACTAGTCTTTCATCACAACCATAATGTTAAAAAAAAATACAAATGAGAACCAAATACATGTTTTCAACACTGAACTCTTTCAAATGCTACAAGACAAACATGTGCATTGTGAGTTATGAGAGAGTCTACCAATATTGAAAAGTGATTTCTTTTATGAAATCTGTTTTATACATTTCAATGATAGCAATACGTGAACACTATCAATGATTAAAAAAATCCTAAATAATAGTAGGTACTTCTGCAAATCCTAGTTGGCACAAAAATTCTTAAACTTGTAAGTTTCAGACAATTTAAATCACACTACAATCTAAAACTGTATTATATGTACAACTAAAATGTACTGAATATTGCTGAGACTTTCAACATCCGAGGTAAAATTTATGATAAATGGACGATGGAAATACTCAAATGCATTCCCTATATATTTGACAATCATAATAAAAATTGTTTAAATTATGTACCATTAAATGCCAGTGTAGCAGTCAGTCTTTGAGATTCTGTCTACCTAGCACTGACACATTGTAAGTAAAATTCCAATCACTACTATTGTGGATGCTCCCTGCAACTTGCAAAAGGAACTTCACTTAAGAAAGGGCCATTTACAGCTGCCCACAATGCCAGTCTATGATGCCAGCCAACCTAAGTAAGAAAGACTAGGATACAGGGCCTGGAACAGGTCCTGACCCAGGCCTTGGCATGGGTCGAGGCATAGGTCCTAATCTGACCTTCAGCGCTGATGCACTTTCCTTGCACTTATATGCTAGGACTTGTTTGATCTTGCTGACCTCGATTTCTGGAAATCTTGAAGTAACATATGCTGCAATAAAAAATATTATTTGCAATATCCATCAAAATCCAGTTAATAGTTAAATTTAAACTGAGAAGAATGAGTTAACCATCAATATCAAAACAATGGTGTATTTACGAGAAACTACAAATCGAACAAATTTGGGAAGAAAATGAAACTTCCTTGAACTATAAATCTTTATCAATACACACCCATCATGGGCCAATGAACACACACAAGTCGAGAATCTCTTCCAACTAATTCTCCCTCCCCTTTTTCTCCATTCATCAAGATCAAGTAGAACATCACAACACAAAAACATTCTTATAATGCACGCTTAACCTTTGCAGGTTGTGAGTCCCAATACATAAATTATGGTCATTTTCTTCCCAGTCATAAGAGACATGCTTATGCCTATATAGGTAGAATAGTAGTTCCAGAAGAAATTTTTTCTTCACGAGTGAGGGACAGAAGTTGAAATATCAACATTCTCCCATGTGGTAAGCTGTGTGACCCATTGGTTTTACTCTCAAGTGCCCTTGATCAAAGATTCACAATAAGAGATTCCGTCTATAAAAAACCCAGAAATAATGCTTATTCATCTGTGAAAAATTAAATCAGTGGAAAATATCCTGTACATTGTGGAAAATTTAAGATGCAGTCTTCATTGAGAACTCCATCTGATAATGTTCTTTGTGTTCAGGAGAATAGTAGAAGTGCAAGTTTTACAGAATTTTATAAGAAATAAGGCTCGTCTTCATGCATTATGTACTTTGAATTGAATTTTTCACTATCATGGAGACACTGATATCAATAGTTCTGTTTGCTTGAAAGGCAATATCTCAATTTAGAGGAAATTAGTTTGACAATTACAATTGTGATGGTTCCAAAATGGACGTTAAAGGGAATATCCAAAAAACATGACACCAGATATCAAGTTGAGAATAGAAAAAAACTAAAATAATCTCATGTTATGAACTTGTTAGCATTCCTATCTATAAAAGACTTTTTTAAAAAATCCATGCCCTTAGATAAATCTTACACTAATTTATTTCTACTAATTTTGTAGTTTGAATAACTATGAATGCTTTTGAAAAAAAATTAACCTGATGACATTCCAAATAATTAAGGACTAACACTCTTCTTTTTCGGACTAATTTTCTACTTGTCAAAAATCAATGGGTCAAAACTAGACTAGTTCATTCATACCAAACAGGGTAATTTAATTTTGTCTTCACCCTGCAATGGTAACGTTGGGTCTACCAAACCCAATGTAAAATTTATTTTAACATATCTTGAAATGGAAACAGCACTTAATTTCATTTTCATCTACCTTTCAAAGTAATGATGTTTTTAGAATAATAATCAGTACTATATTTCCTTGTTAGTCACTGTTTAGTGAAAAAGAAATTTGCAACACAAGGAAACTGTTGGGTCTGACTTACTCATCGTTACCCCTCATACTTCTTTCAACAATGATTAGATGGTTTGTTAGCACTTTATTTCTGAACAGTTTATGTTATTAATAGCTTTATAGATTACTTGTGAGTTAGTGTTACATACATACAACTGATATGGATGTTAGAGGAAGTGCTAATGTATCGAGTGAACATGAAGATGCGTAACAAGATTTTTGTTTATACAGAATGCACTATACTGATAGTACGGCAGAAGGTTAAGGGTGAATATTGATACCAATTAAAGCTCACATGTCTTAGGAAAAGAAAATACAACTAAATAGAGAAAAGCGTAAACAACATAAATATTTGCATGCACCGTAGCAATGTTATTACCACATGTTTACAAGCGGTGTCCTGGTTTGCATTAAAATCTCAAAGATATGTTATGTAATGATTTTGTCTGAAGATCACTTGTAATTTATTTTATTTCTCATCTAGAACAAATATATTTTGATATGAAAGAATGCAAATTCATTTCTGTAAACAATTCAGAAGAAATGCTTGAATGGGTGTCTCAGACTCAATGTTATCACTGATGAAACTTTTGTATATGTTACCACTGTAGGGTTAAAAATATTTCAAATGAATGCATGAAATTTCATATACAACATAACTATTAACTGAAGAACACCATTATTTTTTTTTCTAATTAGAAGTAGAAAATAACAAACAAACAATATTTTAGTTAATTCCTTATTACCTGACACATTAAAGAAGTCAATCCATTTTAAGTGGTCACTCAACCACCATTAGATGACCATATTGTCAGTTACAAACGAAGATATCAAGTTGTAAATTTGTTTTAAAGTAAAGTATATGTAATATTGAAAATTATATATTAGAGCCCTTTTATGTTTATTAATAATAAAGTATAATTAATTATTTTAAATCAATGAATTTTAGTTTAAAATAGCTTCAAAATAATGATTACTACTTGGCACAACTAATCCTCCGAGTGGAAATTATGACTTTTTTTTGCATAAGTTTACAATTACTTGAAGTTAAATCTAAAAGTTGAAATTTTTACTGAAGTTTGGTATCACAGCGTTCTAGCATGTGAGCAATTTTCAAATTTTTATTTGGTCCCCCAACAGAGATATTACAGTTGTTAATTTTTAAGAGAATGTAATTTTCAGGTGGTAAGTTATTTACCAATGACATTTAAAAAACTGTAACTATACTGTTATGTGTAAAAGTGCAGAAAAGTTTAAGGCTCTGATTCTATTCCTCCTTTGAGAAATTACTGAAAATCAAATTTTGTTCATTTGCATTCCATTGATTTGGTTGCGAAAATTCCCCAAATAAAAACATAGAAGTTATGTGAATAAGTTTTCGATATGTAAGCCAGAGTATACTGAATCCAATGGTTTTTGTTAGAGTAACCCTGATCTGAGTGATTTACAAAAGAGTAAATGTCTACAAACGGGAAAAATAGCGCACGACTTAAAACAACAATGGCCGCAATAAAAAATGTTAA